TATTCGACTTCTAGAAAAAATCCATACCCCTCCAACAATCAAAGGAAAACTCAAACCATACCCATTTACGTGGATCAATCAATAAAACTAATATCCATCCAAATTCCATCCACTAGTAAAGGCGCAAGACTGGTATAGTTAACGGCATAGCCACCCCAACAAAGCAAAGCAAAATATTCTTCAATCAACACTACCATTGTCAACATACAACGACGAACGACGAACACAGTGTTGGTTTCTACGCTCCGGACCTAATTATCGAAGTTACTCGGCGTTGTAACCTACGAATTACGCTCCGGACTCAAGCAGCGAAGACACTCGTGAAACGAAGTGGCGGTCGACGCACGCAACGTYATWAGTCATTACATAACATTTCACTTTGCGTACAACTACCAGCGGCTCACACGTGGTTTTGCACGCACAGTCGACCTACCATCGGGAGTGAAAAAAAGGGTTCTTTTCAGAAACATCAGTTCAATTCCACCCCAGTGAGCCTACTCAGATTTTCACTACGAGTGCACAGAACTTTACACGACTTATACAAGACCGTGGGAAAGTGTGTGTAACTCGCCTCCCATAAACATTGTATAATTTTTAATATTGAGATTCTAAATTGTATATATTTTGGTCACGCATCTACAAGCCTGACACTGTACGTTGCAATCTGCTTATCCAAGCCAACTGCACGATCCGGATATAACTTATTCCCACATTTAGTTTATTGTCATAACATTAGACTTGAACTAATAAACGGATATGTTTGTAAAATAATAAAATAGATTTTAATTATTCACGATCTCGGGCCGTCAATAAATGACGGACCGTTATCAATATTCTAATTATATTTAAATGCGTATGAACCATTAACCGGGCAGCGAGCATTGTACATAAATTACGATAAAAAGGTAAGAAATAACAATATAATACCTAATACGATTTTAAAATTAACTGTGGTTAATAGTCGAAATTAATCAGCTTTATGTACGTAAATTTATGGATCAATCATTCTCCCAGAATTCAAATTCTTTTTCAAAAGAATATTTTATTAATATCACGCTTGGTAATTTGTTTAATTATTTATTTAGGTTTTTTACTACCTAATGAGGTAAATGATGGATAATCCTATATAGAATATTTTAGTATGACCATATAGATTATTTTATTAATATATTCACATAACCATGAATCTGATGAAGCAAATATTTTAACCAGGCAGACAGTAAGTAACTCTTTTAAAAGAAAAGCACAGAAAATCCTTGTGAAAGTCCATCTAAGTTGTTGAGTAATGAATTAAAAAATGGTTTAGAAACTCTAACACATAACGATTGTACTTTAATTTAAAAAATATGCACTAAGCTAGACAAAGTATTCAACCGAGTATTCATAAAAGTTTAAGCGTTATTCATAAAACATTAATTGATTTTAAAATAAAAACAAATCGTGAAGAAGACTTTTTATTAATTAATAACAGTGTAAATAAAATATTTATATTTTAAACAACTAAAAATTTAAAATTTCTATGTAAATCTAATAAAATATAAGTAATAACTAATAAGTATGCTGACAGTATATTGTTGTAAAAGTTGTTGTAAAATATTCGCACAAATGTTCACTATTYATATTATTCACAATAACCACTATATTCCTATTATATTTTATTTATTACCTTCTAAGAGTATTGAGCGTTATTCACAAACTTTTACGCATATTTCCAATGAATGCAATAAATGAAATTTTGATTTTATACCTGAAATTTCTTATGCTGATTTTGAAGTAGCAATTCACACAGCTCTATTAACAATTTGCTCACAAATAAATATTAAAGGTTGTAGATTTCTTCTAGGCCAAAATTCCTGGTGAAAGATCCAGAATTTAGGCTAATAACYTAAGATGTTGAAGCCTTATCATTATTATTTTAAAAAAAAAGATCCAGAATCTAGGATTAAGTGGTGATTATAAAAAAAAACGAAGACTTAGGTGATCACCTAAAAATTTTTTTTTGGATTTACCACCGAACGAAGTTTAAAACTGTTTTACACATTATTTAATAAGTATTCAGCCAGTTGACGAACGAGTACACAAATTTACAGAATATTTATTAAAAAATTATATTCGTCCTGACGCAAAGTTCCCGCCAAAATTATGGTCTGAATTTAAGTCTAGTACAATAAGAACTGTGGATTTTTCCATTCGCATTTCAATTCTATGTTTTATTCGGCTCATCCAAATATATTTCAATTTGTACTCGTTTTAAAAATATTCAAATCGACGTTTATATTAAAATGAGAAGTCCAAAAGGAAGAAGAAGAAACTGTATTATATCTAAGGAACATTTCTTAAAGGAAAAAATGACGGAAAAGATATTGGAAACAATTAATTTCTATGAATTTGATAAATCTGTATCTTACAAATTTCAGCCCAATTATTAACTTGTTAACTAGCTAATAAAAACTAGATGAGTGTAATTATATTTGTACGAAAATAAATAGTAATTATTTAAAAAATAAATATTATGTAATTATATTTGGGTAATTTATGTTAACCAATAATAAATTAGAAAAAAACATTTTTTTTTTTTTCTAGGACCAAACTAGTAAAGTAGGTTTTTTACACGGGACCCAATTGATAAACAATTGGAAAATGGGACCCAACTAGTATGCGCCGTACCATATGGTATCTAAATGACAATAGTTACAAAATATGAAATTCAATGCACTGGTTATAGGTTTATGTTACTGAAAATATAATATTTTCTGCTAAATTAGCGTTAAGATAACAGTCTCAATTCCATTGATTCAAATACAATAAAGAGACCTGCGATATTTAATTTATATCATAATTTAGAATCACTGTTTTAATCAGTTTATCCAAAAATATTMATCATGTAGGTAGTTTATATTTTATTACAAATACAAATATTACTAAATATAATTTTGCCGATAGAATTGTTGCCAATGTTCAACAATTAATCATTATGTATTATTCAGAATATTTATTTTTATTTTAAATGTATAAATATTGTTGTTAAAATAAAATTTAATTATAAAAATATTTTATGAATCTAACAGGACTGTAATTTATTCCTAGGCAAACAGTTAAGTTTTAATTTTGAATAGTTCTCAAACTTGTTTTAATTTCCTGATTGTTTAAGTTGAAAAAATCTGTTCGATAATACCGTTTATATAATAACATTGATTATAAATACTTATTATATTATATAATATCATTGATTATAAATACTAGTATTTAATATTATTATTTATATTATTATTATTATTATTATATTATTATTTATATTATTATGTATTATATTATAGTATTTATAATCTTTTAAGTATACTAGTGATCATATCCATTGACAACATAGACCACAGTGCAAATGAAAAGGAAGAATTTATCGCTAACATAAGATATATTAATTTCAAAATATTTGATGTACCAGTCTATCGCGCCAGCTTATCAAGTCCTATAAGATCGTTGAATCTTACGTCAAAATATATTACCTAATATGCGCCTGTTGTTTTCTTGTCATCAATACACCTATTAGAGCAAAGGGGTTTAGTGAAAAGTTTACGGTAATGCGTCCCATACGGCGGATGTTGCAGATGTCCAATTAGTTATAAGTAAGGAGATGTGGGATTTGGCTATGGTAGGTATAAGATCATAGAAAATTAAATCAGAATGGATTATTCGAAAAGCATAAAGAAATCTGATAAACGAATTAGCCATTTTTTATTATTATTGAGAAAATCGGTATTAACATTATACATATTAAAGCTAAATATTATCTCCTTCCAAAAATACAGCCACTTATTGTTGATACATTTTTAGGGTATTTAGAGCCTGATATTATTTGAAAATATATATTATTTTGTTTTATGATATGATTTAGGTCACTTTTGCAGGACGTATGGTAGGTAGGTTACCGTTATAAAATATATCGCGTGGGGAGGTGTCGGCCACAGTACATATGATACTCATTTATTATGTATATATATTATATATAAATAATATATAGCCATAATACGCAGTAGCCATCGTATATATTACGTACCGTAAGTRTATACGATATTTCTGGAGTAGTGACCAAATAAACGGGCGCTACTGTCAATGAGACATATTTTTCATACGCTCAGCATGGTTAGATGGAGTGTCTGGGGTGTCATATCCCGCTTCAGACTTATTTTTGTCATAACACAATTAAGCGCAACGGAACTATATTCTCTGTTATACTATAATTTGGTCTGAGAATAGTAAAAAATTCATATCCCCTCYCCCATGCAGAAATGCAGTTTACGCTTAAATAATTGATGTTGTGAAGTTGCCTCCAATGGTTGTTATAGGCGTTTAATAAATGTACCAATTGCTTTCAACTTAAAATAGTTCACCAATAATACAAAAAGGAACATTTTTATTAACACTGGTATAATTATTTAAACACAAAAAATATTTTTTAGTCATATTTTTGTTGTGATAAATAACAATTTATGCCGCTCATCATTATCATTTAATAATGTTTATGGTTTTTTTTTTTATCATTATTATTCAATACCAATAATAAATAGCTGCATCCTCTATTTCACACTATAGGTATGTTATTGTAGTTGTATAGATAAACTATAATAAATTAAAAACTATGGCAGTAAAATTACCGGTTTCCACCAAAATTTAAAATGCCATCAGCAACTAGCGTATATTTTCTGGGTATAGWTTGAGGAGAGATTGGCATTTTAATGACTGCTTACCATATCATAATTGCATGTGTATAGGCATATAACTTATATGCAGACATTTTCAACCACAGTTGTCAGTTATACTAAATTACGTTCTCGTCCGAAACGATGGTGCTCGTATATCAATAAAAAATTCTCTACAACGTGTTTTCTACCGTTGACAACCGAAAATCCGGAGAAAACGGTGCCACCGACTCCCCCGTAAACACAGTAAAACGTCGATGCAACGGACATACTTTTGACAGTATTTTTTTTTCTCTTAAAGAATTATTCAGCTACATAATCTGAAAGTTTTTGTTGCCCGTTGAGAATTCGTGTATATTGAAGTTTCTCCTTACTGATAGATATTATACGATGGACCACCACCTTGACTCCGGTCCCGTGACCGCCGTGTGTCCTGCGCAAATAAATCACGTCATGCAATATATTTAGTGTTATGCTAAGTCGTCGCCACGTCGAACGTTATCACCCGAGCGTTTTTATATAATAGAGTAGAAGGAATATATTGTTAACGTGCGTGTGGGTTCTAGCTGATTGCTACGTCATTATTGCATGAAATGAAACCCAATTGTTGGTCTTGACTACTATAATAATGACGTATAATAATATTACGTGTACAGTGTCTAAAGTTTGAAATGTTCCGTAAACTCAAGAAACCACGCATCAAACTATCATAGGTAATCACTTGTTTAATGATATTTCTTTCGTTTTGGCATGATAGTATAGTTATTTTATACGTTATAAGAGTAACAGTTGTTAAAATATATTATAAATATAATAAAATATAATCATAATTATAAACTATATTTCCTATAAAAATGTCTCACTAATGGAATAAGAGATACACAATGATTTATTAATCATAAAATAAGTTATAATATTATATTATATGACATGTAAGTTCAAAACTAATCCGTGTAAATGTGACTTTTATCAGAATTTGAGTATTGCACAAAACATATTAAACACGAAAAAGGTTGGATCTAAGGAAGCATCTAATAAACGCGCGTTTATTGATAGTGAAAATTTTTCGATCTCTCTATTAATAATTATTTAAAATATTATAATTTTTTAGTACACATTATATAGTAAAGCAATTTACTATCGATTAAACTTGATTTAACTGTGTGGTTAATATTACTGATGATATTATGGTAATGTTTGTAATATATAATATTATGAACATAAGTAATTTTAGCAATTTATATACTAAAACATTTCATAAAAATTAAATAAATTGTTGTGTGAGTACGTCATAAAGTTTTTTGAAAAAAATTTAATAATTCTCACGTTTTAAATATTCAACATTAATTTATTTGATACAAATATCAAACACAAAAAGACGAGTAATTAATAAATTTGAAAAAGTTGGGAGAATGATGTGCTTAGATTTTATATTATCATTTTATCAAAGCCCATAATAACGTTACTTATCGCACAGGGGGCTGCTATCTTTCATATATAAATATCCGATCTCGAAGAAACTTTAGGAAATTGTTAAGTACAGTCCCAAAAAGGTTTCTAGCATATTAAAATTTGAACTAACCAGTTACATAACAACAGAGATACCAATATAATGCCGTATTTTGTATTAATCGACCATTTTTTGCCTACCGAAGTCACTTTACATAGTATAGCTAAATAAAAAAAAACCACCAGATGGCCACATTGTCATAACTTTGAAACTTTAGTTTTAGAAATTATACACTGGCGTACGCACCTTGTGGGGTCCGCACTCCATTGTATATACCTAGTAGATAATCACAAGCTAGTCTCACGGTCAACACCTGGTGGGATAGCTATAATATAACTTGAATGTGTCCTGACAGACTCGTTGATTGATCAAGGCAGAGCCTTAACAAACAATGATACCTTGATGTTAGCACATTTCACGGTGTTTTTGAACTATTACTAAGAAAATACTTTCCACAATTAGCATCTTAAAGTAGTACTTGCATAACTGTTTTGAGATTCAAGGTGGCTGATGAACATTTTTAAATTTTGAACACCATTACAGTGAATAATAAATAATAAATTGAACAAAGTTTGAATCTCATCTTAGAAGTGGTATTTTTAACTGGAACGAAGTTCATGGAGTTTGTTAGTAATATTAAATAAAAATGAATTAAAAAATGTATAGAATGAGTTCTGAAGCTTTTTTTAAGCATGTTTATATGAATTATTAAGTTATTTGTATAATTTTCTTCGAAAAAAACATTTCTATAACATTTACCATTTAAAAAGTAGACGTGTTTACTAATTTAGTTATATATTAATTTTTTTAAATATTTCATAAAAAAAAATGTCGAAAAAAAATAATTTCAAAACATTTTAGAACCATAAATGTATATACTATAATATATATAAAACTGATATACATAAGTATTATTTCATTAATAAATGGTATAACTCGGTGGATAAGTTCTAAAAAATTATTATAAAAAAAAAAAAAAAATGTTTTAACTTTCACTAGCAGAAATTATTATGAACATAATATGTACATGCATATAGTATGATGTCCCGGTCGTGTATGCTTTTATCGCATTGACATTTCGGTTTTTCATGCTTTGCAAGCCACGTACGAAATATCACTCTGCGAAAACACTTCGAGATAGTATGTTGTTTGTGTTTTGTGATGTGTGTTTCCCCTACTCATGCCCGCCCAACCCATATCTCGGGTGTAAAGAAAAAAAAAGGCAAATCCCTGGACGCCCTCGGGGGCGTCGTAATAATAATGAATCGGGTTCGGCCGCCTTATTAACCGACGTCCACCCGTGCCAACGAGAAAAAAAAATAACGAAATAATATTATGGCGCGTGGCTTAGTTTCGAGAGTGCGTACAATAATAATTGCGAGTGTTTTGTTTTCGATTTTATTCTTCAAAATCTACACTCATACTACGCCTGTTAAACCATGTACGCTGGTCGCTGAGAAAGAGAAAGAGAGATGTGGATAAAGTAATCCCCATATATTAAGTGTCCTGAAGGTATAGTTATCAAAAGCTCAAATTGAAAACTCGAGTGTACTTACGAAAACTCGTGCCCTATAAATAAATAGTAATAGAGAAGAACTCATATAATCACTTTTCGAGGGTTAAAAATTATCCAGCCTAATCTAATTGATGAATAAAAATATCGTTAGTGTAATGATTATGGTAATAAATCTTTGAAAAATTAATTTTTCGAGAAATTCAATTATACGCGAGGAAACATAGAGTCTGCAAAGTAAACCCATTAGTTCAAATATTATTTTCCATCCGCTGTTTTACCACTGTTTTACAGTGACAAATTCATACGATATAATGTTTATGTTATAGAATGTCTATTTTATCGTACTCTGAAACAATAAAAGTTCTGCGAACAGCTTCCTATTCCGAGAATATATTAATATTTAGTGTACAAAATTGCAACCTAGTACATAAAAAGTTTTCGTGTGTATTATGTAACTTTTAAAATATACTTTGAAGTTATACCAATAACATGGTAATAATAATATTAATATTAATAATACGAGTAAGTTATAAACATTTAATCTTCATCAAATGACGTATCTATGAAATCCAGTGAAACGTTGATTGTAAAATATTACTGTTACAGTACGCATGATCCGTGACCACACTCGTCCAATAATTATTATTATTCAATGCATCGTATGATGTTATATTAATATTATATTATAAATATAAAATATGCAATATATCATTATGGTTACTGGCTGCAAATTCGAGTAGGTTAGAAGAAATTAACAAGAGCTTTTCGAGTCAAGTCAACGTCGAGAACTTCAAAAGTTCTAAAGTAAATAAAGTTAACAAACAATATATTTAATTCTATAACCTTAAAGTTTAATAGTGAGGAAAAATTAATTTAATTAAGTAAAAAGAAGTTATTTTTTAAATAACAACCTGGGTCACGCATAGTTATTTACGACTCTAGATATATTTTTAATAATAAGTTATTATTAATAACTAAACCAGAAGTTCCCAAATTTGTTCCCGCGTGCAAATTTTTTCCATTTTTGTAGACCCCAAAAATTGAATTTTTAAAAATTCATCTCGGTTCTTGTAAAGAGCTTACACGGAACTGGTTACCCAAATAGGCTTTAATATGGAGCACAGTTTTTTTGGATTAAAAATGTATAGTTTATATTATATCTTTATTTTTTAATAATGACGATATTCAAATAATTTTTTTAATAACTAAAACGATAAGAAATGCAAAATAAATGTAATAGCATATAAAAAAACTCAAAGTCAGTATTAAAAAATTATATATTTAATGAGAAGGATGAACCTGATACTTTAATAGTAAATTTTCAATATTTGGCTTCAAACTAATCAGATTTAATCTCAAATCTTCTTCACCAGTGTTTACCAATCTCTTGAAGATTGAAAATTTTAATGAAACCACTTTCCGTGTAGTATGATGACGGAAAAGCTATCAAAAACTTTCTTTCAATACTACATAAAGCAGGATGAGTAACAGGTATATCTTTCTAAAGCTAGAACTGCTGATACCCTTCCTAAATTTCAGTGAAGTTTTTCATTAGAATTTATTTAGAACAGTTCTTTCTGTAATGTTCTCAATGTCACTGTATGGATTAATAATCCACCGTGACATTTTCATTGTTAAAATATCCACAAATATGATTTTAAAGTCAGTTTGAAGCACATTTAAATGTTTAACGTTGTCCGAAATGTCATTATATACTGACAGTTCATATGTGGCAAGTTGGGAAATTGAGAAAATTCATATTGATCTTTTTACACCTAATCATGCAGCACCCCAATTTTTTTTTTCATTGACAAGAATCCCTCGCAGGTAAGAGACGACCCAAGTGGGTTGATATAGACAACTTTGGGAACCTCTGAACTAAACCAATTCGAATATGTCTATTATATTATTTATTACTACACTTTAGCTATTATATGATTTAGGTAATAACACTTTATTAAGTTTAATAAATTATTTAACCAATGAATATAAATTTTATTTGTATACTAAAATTTTAAATTTGCACGAATAAACATGTATAAGTGATAAATATAAATTCTACGAATCTATTATATTTTTCAAATTCATTAGATTTAGACAGTGAATTAATTAGACAGTTAATAATTAATCTATACATGCAATTAATCACTTATGATGAAGCTGTTCAGTATACTCGTTCATTGCATTATACATTAGCAATCCAAAAAAAAGACAAAATTCGTTTAAAATAGATATATTATATTTTGTGTTACATCGATTGATGCAGTTTGCAAGTACATCACCGCCATCGTCAGTACTCGGTGATCATTATATTTTATAAATTGTAAACATTGAAAAAAAACTCAATAATTGAGCCACATATATTAGCTATATGTGTATATTAAAATTGACCATAAATAACAACTGA